GATTTATTATTTTGTTTTCATCAGGTTTCGTGATGGTATGGATTGTTTGTTTTTTTGGACATTTATAAAGTATTCATAAAACATTTATCCTGGAAGATCACCGCGCTACCATTGGCTATGGAATGTATTTCCTCACGCCCATTACCCTATCATCGCGGCTGATCTGCACTGGCTCGGAAGATGAATTCTGATTGGCTAAAAAAACAAAAAAACTTGTGGCGTTGAATGCACGTTCATTGTCAGTATTGTTATGCAAATTCAAACTAGCTAATCATTTACAACCTTCCGAGCCAGTGCAGATTAGCCCTAGCATCGTGGTGTTTGATATAGTTTTCAACCCTCATTTGAATTATAAACATTTATAAATATTTATACAAAACACATTCATCATATTTTCATGAAACTCACTGTTTGTTCAATAAGAACATTCTAATTTAGAAGGGAAACTGTAATTTTAGATACTCGGCACTGTAATGATATAACCACATTACGATTGAGTGCCAAATTTTTGCGTCGAAAAGTATGATTTCATAACGACGAAATTGTAATATTTCACTAGATCATAACAATATTCCAATGAGATACATCAAATGAATGCCACCAATCTAAATTAACTTGCAATCCATTATTTCTAATAATTTCCCTAATTCAAATAATATTGAAAACCAAACATCTAATTGTTGACAGTGATTGGCTGTGCCTTTGAAATACTCGGCAATTGTGAAAGAAAATAGTGTCTCCAGTTGCTCTGTTTGTTGTAATGTATACGGCAAAACCTGACCTAAACTTCCTGAAAAGTTGCAACCAAATTATTGTGACAAGCATGGCGCATGTGTTCTCGAATGATATAACACATTAAAACCGATAATATAAGAATTTCTGTTGTTGAATTATTATAATCATCGTCAATTGGTTCATCTTCAAACCAGGTTTGTTGTCAGAGATCTATTGCTTTTACCACACAATCGAACAGGAAGTATCTCTCAGTGTGTTACAACTAGGGGTTAGTTACAACTTTGCAATCATACCTGAAAGATACTTCCGACTCTGCAAACTCAGAGAATGTTGTCGGGCTCCTATGGCTAACACGATTCCGGTCACATTCGATGATCGTTATTCTACTCACCGCATGGTGATGGTTTACAGCATTAGATTTAACATTAGAATACGCCTTCTACGACGGACTTGCTTAAACCTGTGAAAATAGTTCTGACAACATATAGATCCGGGGCGATGCAATGGAGCCAAATATCAAAGATACAGCATAACCCCAGGCCTAGGTAAGGGTTAATTTCACTGGTCGAGATTCATTAATTGACAGATGTGACTTTGATGGAAGTTATTGTGTTCGACCGAGCCTGGCCAATGCCAGAATAGTGCATTTAAATTGCTAAAATGTTATTATGATAGAGAGGTGGTTACACTGCCCTGTCACGTAACCAACGGAATATGATTTCTGTAAGTACTCGCACATGCAACAAAGTGAGGTATAACAAAATTGACTTTCAATGTCGCATGGCACAAATTATTTAAAACTATTTTATAATTGTTCCACTTATAACAAGTAAAATATAGCTCATGAAAAATGGTACTTTATAAAAACATATATTAATTTTAAGCCTAATTAAGATTCAATTGTTTAGTAGTTATCCGTCACCTTTGATCACAAATCCATGACTGCTGCTATTATGAAGAAGGTACATGGGAGTAATGGAGACTGTAAACAAAATGCTGCCGAGCATGTTGATAGAGGTGTGATCAGATAAGCGTTTGAAAGGTCGTGTAAAATGTAAACTGTTCGAACGGTACAACGGTAGCTACACAATTCGCAAATTGTTTTAATTATAACCTGGCGTGTTTTATTTTTTATTCATGATATTGGTAGTACATATATCACTGATCAAAATTAACATCGCTGAGACTAGGCCGGTTTAATATATGGCCACCGCTCCATGTGTCCACTCACAAAGTCAGGTATACCATTTCATATTATTTTGAAGTACTCCAGTCCTTCGATACAGCTTGAACTTAGATACTTTTATCACAAGGGTAATCTGGGCTAAGTTCGAACATTAAATGGCACACATACATGTCTTATTTATCCCAATAAACCTCAGAAATAGACACACTTATCCCAAAGGCACAACTTGAGAAAAACAAATATCATAAATTACTAACAAAGACGTCAATGGGTATTGGAAACGTTACACGGGGAAAGTGATGACTACATAGACTATATACTATAACTCGTGACAGGAATGAGTTCACGGTAGTGATTAAAATTTGTGTTAAAATATAATTTCGCCAAGAACATTAAAGGCGACCCAACGCACCATCTTAATGTGACATTGAAATTGAAGATGGTAGATTGACCAATGGCAACAACGACAATAAGTTAATCTATTCAGTAGTGTCTGCAAGAGAGAAAATATAGCAACGTAGCCTAGTTATCCTCAGCGCCGCAATAATAACCCTCTATTGACTGTATTTATCACATTTGAAGATGTAAATAAAAAAATATTTAACCAGCAAGTCAATGTCCAGAATGTGTATGTTGACTACACGAATGGTCGGCATTGCAGGCGTTGGAATTAGATCTAATTGGTCAATTTGAAATATTGAGTTGCGTATTCAACTTTAACAACGGAGTCTCCAGTAACAGTCGCGGCGGGGAAATGCGGGGAAAGACGTGGGAGTACTGTAAAACATGTCTTTTTTAGCTAGCATGTTATTTAGCTAATTTAGCTAATCCACAATTTCACTTAATTATAATGTCGTTAATTAGAATAGAGTGTATTCTAACAGTAAGATTGTTGACACTTTAGCTAAATTAAGATTCAGTTAATTCATTGAGTCAAATTCGCTTATTTAAAAATGATATGTATATATTGTAATGGAATTTATTCGGGGCTCCACTACAAAAAGAACGTTACCCAGCCTAGTAATTTAGGGGCGATAAACGACGACACTTTCTACCGTGTCGCACGGTGTTTTAGCGGACACACAGCACGCACTTTCTTCTCAGGGGGATCCTGGTACCGCCTCGGTTCAACCACTTCACGATGTTATCTAAATAAAACAATTCACACACGGATTTCGGATGAAAACAGAGTAGTTATATTCTCCATGAAGCATCACATCAACGCCATGCTGCTCGAACAGAATTACAGAGTGTGTACATGCCAATCAAAAATAGTCATGTGATATTATATACTCAACCCGATAGGCTAATATCTGTAATAGGCGTACATCTCATACATATATGGAGTGGAATATTCCACCACTACCTGGCGACCCGAAAGGTCTACCTAGGTTAACAAATATCGTAGTTTAATAATGTAATAAAGCACAGGTTTCCATTACAATATGCTATTTCAAAGTGTTTTACAGTATATTATTTGTAATACGCCGTACACGTGTTGTTAAATAGATTCATCTATGTATACTATAGACTGTAGCAATTCGAACCAATAAAACTTGTCAGTTCCAAAGCTCAACCTTATTATATTTTTATTGTTATTTAATGATATTCGATTTTGTTCCAAATGCATAATGGAACATCACCGCCTAAAAAACATGAAAGATTGGCCAATTGTGTTCAATATTAGGTAATTTATAAGCAAGAATTTCAACCAAAAACTCGGATCTGGCTATCGTCCAGAAATCAGCTATATACTAAGTAACATTCAAACCAAATCTGCGGTTCTTAAAGGACGGTGGTCGTCACGTAGCACTTGTTTGAATATCATGTAAACAAACAATGTATTTTTCAATCATGCGTTGTATACGTTGCTATGAGTTCCATATCAAACATGACGCGGCGCCCTTTAAGGCATCAGTGGAACATACCTAACATACATCGACATACAATACTAAACCATTCCAGTCGTTTGTACTTTACATGTACATGTTTACAGTTTAAAGGCTGTACTAAAAATTGCATGTCTGAGCCTTATCAACTACAACATTTCATTTTGAAATAACAGCTGTAATCCAACCAACCTATCTTCTTCAATCTTCATAGACATGTGACAATAGACGGTTCAGCAGGATTGCGAAAACGACTGAGATTTTTTTTTATTACACCGTCCAGAACCTCATTTAGAGACTTTATGCCGCTCCGAGGATATACGTTAATGATAAGTAATTTTCTGCTTCTTTCTGTACGATTGTGTCACCTACATTCTATGAATACTATCATAGATATATTTGATATGAGATGTGAAGTACATATTCGATCCAATTGCCCTTATGTTTCCATTATGCAATGCGCGACTCTAAGTCGTATGCGTTTGTATTCTTTGTAATTATACTGATAACTTTAGTCAAGTAATAGATTTAAATTCACTAGAAATACCTAAACAGATATATAGTACTTCTTGTTTTTCATTTCGACTTACATCCACAATTAGTAAATCAAATACTCGATATGATTAAAGCTTGTATTACTTGTATTTATTCATTAAGTCTTTAGCTAACAGTGTTCATTGCAATATGTCTTGTAGTACAACTATTATATCAGTACAAGAAACAAATGTGCGGAATACGTTTCCAATAAATGAATTGAGCTTTTCAATTTTTCTCAGAGCCTTATAAACATTAATGTCACATTATATAACATCAAAATGAAATATTGCCATCGATAATTAAAGTCTCAATAAAATTACACGTCAATTATAAAAAAAAATGGTTAATAAATTACCTGTACTACAAACATCGTGATGAGTTATTTTCTTTGTCTCGTACGGTGAAAACAACATTATTGTAGGTATATTTATTATTTACTAAAGCCAATATTTTGGTTTTTAATCCATATATTATAAAATCGCTGCTATGAAAGATTTCAATGACATGTATTAATTACAAATCAATAAAAAGAGGTAAACCGTCAATAACCAATCAAATACCACATACAGAGAAATACCATAGTTGGTGTTATTATTAATTAATTCTAGGAAATATCATCCTTCGAAATGTGTCACCTAATGTATATCATTACTTTATTCATCTTCAACACTTCCTGGGACAGCTGTAATTAACAAAAATGAATATTAAATATAATAATATTTGGTGAAAATCATTTACATTTTTAAACCATAGACTCTACTCTACTCTGGTTTTGTTCAAATTAAATGTTACTTTTTTAATCATGACTGGGTGGATGTGTGAGTGACTGGGTGGGGTGTATTTTGGAGTTGGTGATTTCAAGCGCAACTACACATTCATGGTAGTCTAGATCTGTTGTTGTTTTTTTTAAGATGGTACAATGCCTATTAATAATTTGGACAAACAGAGGTATCACAATTGAACTAAAGGACGGATGTCGATTCTCACTTAAAAATCGATTCGACTGTTTTCTGCTAATTTTGCACACATCCCAGTCCTTGTCATGCAACAATAAACAACGCGTCGTTCCCAATTAGCAATGTAATCTGTTTACTCACATGTGTCAGACAGTGCAACATGCCATCCTTGCATATTAACACTACTGTCAGTTACGAACCGGACCCACACGGCACCCACATCACTCCTGAAATCATTAGGTAAGACGGAACCTGAGTGCGCCCATACGGTGCTTGAATTACGACTCGGCTCAACACCATTACCAGCAAAAAACACGTCATAGGGACTTTCCGTCTCAAAGAATTGGAACTGTGCCAAGATGTCACTGCCGCTCTCTGTCTGTATTATCCACTGACAGAGGGCGTTGTCCGGATAATTGTCTGGATAATTTGGCGAAACTAAGTCCATCTTTGTAAACGGTGTAATGGTATGGTTGAAATTGCAGTCAGCTAAATAGAATGAGGAATGAAAACAAAAGTTAAATTTATAGTGTAGTAATGTAATGTAATGTGTATCAAAACAATGGCATTTGTCACATGGTGACTATCCTGCCTTTTATGATGAAAGCGCCTTCTATAACCCTGTTTCTTAAAAGAAAATAGCATGGGCAAAGGAAATCGGGGGAAACCTAACCCACAATAAGGACAATACATAATAAACGACCTTCTCAGATAGCAAAGTAAGTATTTACCTGCACACAGATCAAAGAAATCGGAGCAGCAATTGTCACTGAACACACAGTCCGTATTGCAGCTACATACCGATGAAGCGGTCGTATTGAAGCATTGTCCTGCACAAGACTGTGCCTCAGTCGCTAAAATGCAAAACAAATACGAATGACATATTGGCATGTACATGTTAATGTCAGTTACATTGGTGATGTCTCACGTCAAATCAAAAGTCAATATATGTGCAATATGGAGTGCAACAAAATACCGATGATCTCGAGAATCGCTAAAAACACACGATAGAAGTCTAAAGGTGAATGGGTTTTTCTAGTGTCACTATGTACTAATGCTGCCTTCTTTATTGAGCAGAATCCCACGCCTGACGTGGGAAATTCACACCTCATAAAACAGTAAAAGACCCACATTACCAAATAGACCGAATGGGTAGACACGGTACATGTACAAATATACCGAAAGAATGAACTGTAAATAAATAATATTGCTTATCGGTTAGAACATTTTTTTATTTGGCTTGGTGAGCATAATTTTGCTCACAAGAAATTTCCTCAACACTTATTTAATCTTACTTCCAATAACCTTGATCATGTTTCGTTGCAGTGTTGACGTTGACATGGAAACAAACGTGCAGAGCAAGAGTAAGTTCCATTGACACGGGCATACCAATAGAAATCCCATATTTTGGAATGTACAAGAGTTCGCATTGCGCAACGAGGTCATCTGTACCTATCTACCAATTTTTTACAACAATAACAAATTTCGACAGCCATACTGACAATAATGAGCGTAGATTTTACAGTTTCCAATACGTCACACAACTCAATGCAATTATTATTATGATAATATTGTTAACAGTTGATTCAGTTATTTTTGGAAACTACTATTAGACGTTTAGTCTAGAACGCAGTGTAGCATTCGGCGACATGGAAAATAACTGGGTACACTCTATGATAATATCTAATAAAAATGATTATCACCATACCTGTGTCGCTCACAACAATGTGAAATCCTTGGTGTGTGATTAATAAGTCCGATGTAAAACGAAACCATAGAGCGCCCCCTAGGGAGAGGAAGTCATCGGGATCTACGCTGCCAGAGTAAGCCCAAATCCTACTGTTCGCCTGGCTTGGCTCGTCTGTGTCTCCGGCATAAAATAAATCAACACCAGTTTGCGTTCTGAAGTCCATAAATGTGACTTGCATCTGTGCCCCACTATCGCTGTAAACCAACCACTGACACACCGATTGGTTTGGATAGTCATCTGGATAGTTTGGTGACGTGACGTCAACGGATCCCGCCAGAGGTACATGGTATTCGTAACTACAGTTGGCTGTAAATATAAATTAGACATGCTGGGAACGATTGAATATAAGCGCATGCGCTTCCAGGATGTTAAGTTGTTACGCACATTAAAATCGTCGAACATGCTTTGGATAAAACAATCACATTACGTCACTGTTAAAATACCGAATGACAATACTCATGTGGGAAGTTTCATTAGATAAAGACGCACAAATGCAAACTTGAAACAAATGACTGAATATACTAGTGATCTTAAATACTAGTATTCAGTTCAAATCCCAATTCATACACTTTTAGCAATTCCCATAATCCTAAGACTTTGAATGATAACATTTGTAATTGGAGCAAGAGTTCTCCTCACCCATAACTCTAACGCTGCCTCTACAGTGCTTCTCCCCAATTTTAATTCTATATGCCTCTCTTCATTTATTGTTATTTGGAGGGGCATATGCACTTAAATTATGGGACTTGAGTATTAGGGTTAGGGTTTAGGTTAGGGATGGGGGGAATTGGGATATCCAATTAGGTTATGACCAGCTATGGTAAATACTGCTATGGAATGTACAAGACTTACCGGCACACAAGTCAAATGTACACAAGACTTACCGGCACACAATACAAATGTACACAAGACTTACCGGCACACAAGTCAACTGTTATGGAATGTACACAAGATTACCGGCACACAATACAGATGTACACAAGACTTACCAGCATGCAAGTCAAATGTACACAAGACTTCAAGACTTACCGAACCACGAGTAAAATGTACACAAGACTTACCGGCACACAAAACTTACCGGCACACAAGACTTACCGGCACACAATACAAATGTACACAAGATTACCGGCACACAATACAGATGTACACAAGACTTACCAGCATGCAAGTCAAATGTACACAAGACTTCAAGACTTACCGAACCACGAGTCAAATGTACACCAGACTTACCGGCACACAAAACTTACCGGCACACAAGACTTACCGGCACACAATACAAATGTACACAAGACTTACCGGCACACAATACAAATGTACACAAGACTTATCGACACACAATACAAATGTATACAAGACTTACCGGCACAGAAGTCAAATGTACACAAGATTACCGGCACACAATACAAATATACCAAGACTTACCGGCACACAATACAAGTGTAAACAAGACTTACCGGCATGCAAGTCAAATGTACAAAAGACTTACCGGCACACAAGATTTACCGGCACATAAGACTTACCGGCACACAAGCCAAATGTACACAAGACTTACCAGCACACAAGACTTACCGGCACACAATACAAATATACACATGACTTTACCGGCACACAATACAAATGCATACAATACTTACCGGCACACAAGTCAAAAAAGTCATGACAACAGTTGTCCTCATACACACAATTAGAATGGCAGCTGCAGTCGAACCTTGGTAGAATACCCTCAAAACATCGATCTTGACAAGAATCACCTATAAATAAGAAGGCACAATTGAGTTATATGACATATCATGTTGGAGCTTTATCGCACCTTTGCCATTGGTGTTTGATAACGAGGCTCTGCGTCACGGTGTAATACGTACTATTGAGAAAATGTAATTTGGGAATACATTGTTTTGTCAGCGATGTGTTTGTACTAAATATTTCTGGATTTGCTCAATAAAATTCTCTGGTACAAAGTGCACTGGCTGTTTGGTACGTCCTATAACAAACACGGCACGTGCGTGTTAGTGGTTTTGATTTTTCCTCCAACGAATATTCTTATGTACACACAGCATTATCTATGATGAATCTTACCTTGATTTGGTCTACAGTACGGAGTATCGAACAACAATATTAAAAATTATATTTCGTATTTTTAAAGGGCGGTAGTAGTCGCGCCACGCATGCGCGAGATATATGGGTCTCATATAAATAAAGATGGCGACTTTGGCTGTTGCGCAGATCAATGAGTACAAACTGAGACGTTATCAAGCTTTAATTACGTATTTTTGGGTGCTTGGAAGGTATCGAAGGAGTCACCGACGGTAATTAGTACAAGTCCCGCTCAGGTTAACCCTCATACTTGTGATTTCCACTAGAAAAGCGTATTGGATTGTGGGAAATTAATATTTATCAACACAAATGTCGCACATGCGCGGCGCGACGGCTACCGTCCTTTAAATGCGTAGAGTCTACGAATAAGTGACCAGAACGATTCCCGGAACAAATGTGCATAGATGACGTTCTACTACGTTTACTATAATGTTAGTAGCCTCGTTATCCAACAGAAATGGCCGCGGTGTACAATAAATATTTACATAAACGTGGTCATCACTTACCTACATAATATACCGTTGCGTGAAATCCTGTAGCGGTTATACTACCATCAGATATGAATCGCATCCATACTGAAGTTTCTGTCGATGTATAGTCTGCTGGTAGTTGAGTCCCCGAGTGAGCATATATTTCAGTTGTCGCGTTGCTAGGACTATCGCCATGTCCAGCAAAATAGAAGTCAGCGTTCGATTGGGTGTCAAAGTCGTTATATTCAATGTGGAGTGGTTGGTCGTCTCCCTCGGAATAAAGTAACCATTGACATCTTGCATCATTGGGGTAGTCGGCGGGATAGTTTGGGGAGTAAACATCAACAAAGCCGTTAACTGGTACTAAGATGTTGAAGCTGCAATTTGCTGTAAAATCAAATCGTAATTGGTCGTTGAATCGCTCTTATAAATGCAATGAGTGAATACGAGAAATGGTGTTGAAGTGCCGTATAGGGGAGGATGTGGCCATAGGTGAGAGGGTGTAAACAAACTCACAAAATCACCAAATAAAACATACCTGGTCCCCGGACATTTACGACTAAACATACTTGTAGGATGACATACGCCGTGTACGTTTGGAGTTTCAATAGCCACGAACTGAATACCTATCCATTATGTTACCCTTTAAAATACTTCCCATCAAGGTTAAACTTTCCCGAACAACACACAATGTTTTTTATTTCCGACATCTGGTGTCGCTGACCACTCAGAAGCTAGGAACACATCTGCTTTACAATTACACTGCTTAAAATAATTCTAGCTTTTCAACAACAACAACAACAACAACAACAACAACAACAACTTTCGGGTCAGCTTTTTTTAAAGTTCGCAGCGAAAAAACTATGACAGGCAACACCGTGACTTGTCACTCAATACTTTTGGAAATCACAAGCAGTAACACTCGTGACTATCAACGATTTATTAAAAGCAACTTAGTTACTAGCCAACCATTGTTAAATTGTCTCTAAATTAGGTTGAAGTATATACTGTACAGAACTAATCAAATTTAGTGACAAGATTTTTGATTTATTTGACTTTTCTGAACATTGAACCTAGAAGCGATTTTGTAGATCACAATAGTTTTAACACTGAAAGGTGGCTCGTATGGAATTCTGGGTAATTCTCAACGTTGTTTGAAATCATACGTTTCCATTCGCTTTCAGTGTATTGTTAAGCAGCTGTTTAATCACGAGTAGCCGTTTAATCACGAGTAGCTGTTTAATCAGGAGTAGCTGTTTAATCACGAGTAGCTGAGGTGTAGGTAGTTCTATACTTACCCATAGCTATTGCTAATGAGATGTCGAATTGTTCGAGTTACGGACATCGAGTTACGAAAACATAGTTACAGAAACGACCACGCCCATATTTTTGAAACCACGCCCACTTTTGTGAAACCACGCCCAAATTGTAACTCGATGTTCAATTAACAGTTAACAGAACTTCGAGTTATGGGCAACATATATTTTGGTTTTCGTTGAACGTCCACATTCTGTAACTCGAAGTTCAAATAACAGTTAACCGAATTTTTTGTTTTGTTCAAGTTTCAAATTTTGTAATTCGAGCTTTAACCAACAGTTTTTTCAAACTTCGAGTTTGACATCTCATTGCTAATATGTATCTACCTTTGTTTCTATAATCTAGTGTTCTAGTGCACCGGCAATTAAACTTAACATCACATAGAGTGACGTAAACAATTCTAACGATAACACAATTGAAATATTCATAACCATATTTCGTCACATCTCTCACTCCTTAGCAAGTCATAGTACTAAAACTCACGCCGTATACTCTTTAATCGTAATTGTACCAAGTCCTTAAAACTATATGGGGCTGATAAACAGGTTTATATTGTAGAAGCAAACCGAGTCATCAAATATAAATGACCTCTCGACCACCTGACTGAGGCAAGTGTGTACAATGTATAGTAATATTAATATACGAGTGTATTTCAGGGTTGACAACTGTTATAATTCACCTTTATCATTCTGACCCCTGCAACATTACGATATGTTCCATCAACGTGAAAGCGAGACTTGGGACGCAAATTAGCAATGACCGACGCAGGATTAAAGCGTGCGAGTCGTCACCTGCGCGTGCGTCATATAGCCATAGCGTGTCATTGTTTACAAACAAGCGTCTACCCATGAGCCTTTGCGTTTTTAGCGTGTGTTCTTATCATCGCTTGGAACTCAATTCCCGCGCGTGCGCAAGTGACGACCCTCCCGCTTTAAAGTGAATAATGCCTTACCATGACAAGAATCAAAATAGTCCGAACAGCAAGTCCCGCTGTATATACAGTCTACAAAACAGCTACAACCAGAAACCACGATATCACATCGTCCTAAGCATAAACCAGCTGAAAGCGTACAATGCAGAATAACTGTTATTGGACACGTTTTGGAATTTCATCATCTTTGTTTTTAAAAACTATTGTGTTGTAATATGTGTTGGTATAATGACAAGAGTCCCATGCAGGATGTTGAGGCCACGTGGGACATGACGTCAAATTATGTCGCTTGTCATTATTTACCCGGCTCCCTGCATGACTGTCTTCACAGTCTTGTTTATATTTATAATCATATATCACTATCGCAATTGGTCTCACCAATGATAGTGTTATTTTTAGTGTCAGGGTTGAATTCCGATAGCGAAATTGACATAAAATCAACACGACTTTCGCAGCAAATTTAGTTCCAAAATCAAGTTCCATGTTCTTTACAATGTTTGGTGCAAACTTATTTGTATCAACGATTTCCAGGAGAAATGATACAAAACAAATTGTTTTGGTGGCGCGTTAAGTTATGGTTTCTTCAAATGTATGTTAGTAATAAAGTTGTCTATCTGTGATTACTTCAAGTTTAATTCCCTTGGGTCGAATCTGGTATCTATACAGTGTAAGAATTATCTGCCAGTCGAAGTACCCTACACACTACGTTCCGTTCTGAGGTACCGATCCACCAATGTGCGTGAATGCGGCGTTACAATAGCAGGAAACGCCAAAGTATACTCGAGAATGACCTGGTGAATCGCTAGATGACTACGAAATCATCACTTATTGGCTGTCTCTTTGCCATCACTATATTACACGCATGCGCAGACACACTATTTATTATTCGTAAATGTGTCTAAGTCTTACGATCATAGATGGCATCTAGTCTACAATGTTGTATACAGGGTAAAAACTGCACCAAGTGACGCCTTGGTGGCTAGAAGACATATTTAACAAGTTATTGAGGGCGAGTCACGTTTTGTCCCGTGTAAGCAGAGGAATTTCTTTAAAATTACTATGGCATTAGATGTGTTTGTAATATCATGGGGACTGTTTTTTATAAAGGGTATGAGATCAATTTTCAGGATTAATCAATAAACGTTAAAATGTCACATAGTAGTATGTCACGCCGCATAGTGTTTAAAACGTGGTGGTCGTCGCGCAGCGCGTGTTTGAATTTCATGTAAATAAACAATGTATTTTACACGCGTTGTATACGTTGCTATGAGTCCCATATCGAACAAGACGCGACACGACGACTGCCACCCTTTAATATTGTTTCCATGTGACGTATACACCGTATGTAAGACACACTTCATACGAAAACCGAACGCGCTGCGTGACGACTTCGACACTATATTGTTAATAATATACTATTTGTTTATACTCACCCATGTCAGATAAAATTACATGGAAACCTTGAAAATTAATTAACCGATCTGAGGTGAACCTAAACCATACTGAGCCTCCCGTTGATGCGAAATCCGGCGGAATCACGTCACCAGAATGTTGCCATATCACGCTGTTGTTATTGGTTGGTTCGTCGGTGTTACCGGCGTAGAAAAAGTCAGCATTGAGTTCCGTAGTAAAGTCAACGAATGACACCAACATCTGGTTATTGGACTCGCTGTAAGCAATCCACTGACATATGGCATTGTTTGGGTAATCGTCTGGGTAGCCAGGTGATGCGAACTCAGTTGAGCCGCTATCAGGCACAATTAAAGTATAACTGCAATTAGCTGAAAAAGAATGTTTTAAAATTTGTGTATTTTATGAATCTTATTGTACTGATTTACGACATGGAGAACAGTGATTGGATTATTCGAAATGAAAATTGTAGATGTTTTCACAACTGGCAACTCGCGAACTTTGCTAAGGTAATTTGCCTCTGTAATTTCTTAAATAATTCTCTTTTAAAAACTTTAACAATTTATTGCAATCGCTTTGTTTGCCACTTTTTGCATAATGACCAAGTCAACCAGTGTCAATTATGCAGCCAGTACAGCTTGCGTGTTTATTGCAACATACATGAACTACCTTCCATTTTCAGATGTTATTAACAAACCACCGTTACCAAATGATCACATGATACGTATGTTGCAGTGTGATATGTACTGTTGTGTTAACCTGGAAACATCTGGATCTGTGCTAAACGTATAATGCATTTTCCATATGTACTTTTCGAGGTAAAATGATTCAATGTCGAATGTGTGATGTTTCTAATGATTTGGTCTTATTTCCCTATACATGCAGTTCGCTTATTAGAATATGCCACGTTATTTGCGAATTTATGTGCAAATATTTATTTCAATTTGTAAGAAACAGAAAAATTAGTTACCTATCTAGTGCGTAAAAGGTGCAACACGCTAAAGAATAGCGCAACATGTAAAACCCCAATCACAATTTGGATGCGTTCAAATCATGCGAGTCGATAATATGTTTAATGACTGACTTTTTAAAAACAAAGTGGCTACCAGTCAATCGGAATGTTCGTAATGCAATTGCAGAATACTATATGAATCGCCTTTCTTCAAACTTTCTATATTTAGTCTTGTGTGGAATGAGGGTAAATAATTGACGTGTGTGTCTTGATAATTCATCGGGGACGTAATTGAACACCGAGATCTCGCTGGGAGCGAGAGAGAGAGAATCACGCAGCATCTATGCTCCTCGAATGATGTTCCCCTCTTTCTCTCAATCACGCCCTTTCTTCCAAATACTATGCTTATATAGTGGGCGCAATGACCGTCAAGGTGGGGGAGAATGAAACACAGATTCAGGGGCAAAACAAGCCTCGTTGCTCTCTCGTTCTAAACAAGATCCCGGCGCCCATTCGTAACTAAGGTATATTTGGCTCATATTATTGACTCACCTGCGCAGATATCAAAAAAATCGCGGCAGCAATTATCATTTGCTATACAGTCAGTGTCACAGCTACAGTCGTAAGTTGGTAAAATTCCAGAAAAACAACGCCCTTCACATGAGTCGCCTAAAGATTGGATCGGAGAAAAAACATAATTGTGTAATTTTTTGTTTTTCTCTCTTTCGTTCTTAATTTTTGGCCATACGGCATAACTTCAAACTGCCTACAGGTCTTAGTCAAAATATTTGCTTTTGGAAAGAGGACAACATTGTGCATTTATATTATCTGAAATGTGACTAAAGTTGAAAATGTCACTCAAAGGTTTAAATGAAATAAGAGGAATAGATATTAATATTTCTCGAATAATAGAAATTGGTCCTAATCACGTTGTTGTTAAAGACGAGATTTACTATTACTGTTAATTACCGATATAGTAGACCTTGGCGTGAAATCCTCGGTTGGTCACGGAAGAGTCGGATATGAATCTCATCCATATAGATGCTGATAGCGACGTGAAGTTCGGTGGGAGACTCGAGCCGGAGTGAGCGTATATTTCAGTTGTTTCATTACTGGGCGAGCTCCCGTGTCCAGCGAAGTAGAAATCGCAGCACTGTTCTGTTTCAAAGTCGATGTACTCTACGTACATTGGCTGGCTGGCCCCTTCTGTTGTGATAATCCATTGGCAGCGCGCATCGTTTGGGTAGTCGCTAGGATAGTTTGGCGAATATACGTCAATGCTTCCTTCATACGGGACCACTAATGTGTGCGTACAGTTTCCTAATGGTATATTAAAAAAAAATATGGATGCAACATTACAGGTTTTGTCTAAAACCGATATGCAAATGAGATAAATAGTTCTAAAGTTGCGGGGGGGGGGGGTGGGGGGTGCATAACTTGAACTGCCAAGATATATTTTGGCTCCCACAATTATTGCTGAATTGGTATCGTGTAATTTGAATAATAAAACTTCCAAGTTACATTCTTGCACAAAAAATAGTATGAAATAACTATGCAAATTAGTAAATTGTCCGAGAAGAGGCGCCTTCACAATCTGCAACCATACAACTCAAAGTAAAACACACCAGAAGGAAGAGTCTACGCACTTGTGCGCACTCATACGAAATTCTTGGTTTTTACAACTTTCCTGGTGATTTTTGCCAAGTCTGGGAATATATGTATTGATAAAAGAACGCCGTGGCTTCGCAATTACATTTGTTAAGTATTCAAGTTATTTTCACTCGTGAACACGTGATGCGATTTATCCTGCGACTGCATTTTCACTATCTTTATTCATGAAAATACGGCCACGGGATACACCGTACCACTCGTGAAAATAACTTCATAACAACCATTATATAAATAATATCTTTATAATAAAAACCAGTATTAAATATTGTAATATGTTTTTGGAAAACGCAGAAACCTGCCATATTATCGATAGTTTTCATTTTTGTCTATACTAGACGTTTATAATCGACATTCTGATATTACCTCCGCATGACTGGAAATAATCTTTGCAGCAGTTACCAGCGTAGATACAATCTACAAAACAACTACAGCCATCCGACATGAACTCACACTGCCCGCCACAGTATCCAGCTGGTAGAGACAAATTATGTAAATAATAATATTACAACACGAACGAACTACAAGTGACATCAAAAAAAGCTTAGAAAGAACTCCCGTGTGCTGAGAGTATTTGAGACATATTAAAATTAATTAGCCTTCCAAACAAGAATCTTGGCAAGAAATATGTGTCTGTTATATGAGATGTGCAACGTGAAAAAGGAGATACATTTGATTTTACATCTGTGGTTTTCAGTTATTTTCCAGTCTTTCAGCACCTCTACCACGAGTTCAGTTTAAAATCTGACTTTATTGAGATGTCAGAAATTGGCTATTAATAATTAGATAATCATTATGCAAGTATTTCATTCTCACACTAATCACTTCTGTTAATTACCCCCAAAGCATTTTTTAAAAATTAGTTATAAACCAAATCGTCTGCGTATGCGTCAGATGACTATAGCGTGTCATTGTATACAAACAGGCGTCTACCCACGAGCCTTTGCGCTTTAGCATGTGTTGTTATCATCGCGTGGAACTCGATTCCCGCGCGTGCGCAGGTGATGACCCTCTCGCTTTAATGAAATGTGATGATTATACACATAGTGCAAATTCGGCAATTTGTATGGTCGAATTTCAATCCAAAACAAATGCATTGTTCATAGTCACTTATATACCAAGCCTTATTGAAATGCAATAACTGGCTTTGAAACAAATAGTGTATTATTATGCAAATTACGCAAATATTATGCATAGATTTCAACCCCAAATTATTTAGGTCTGTGTTATTCAGGACACATATGTACCTAGTTTCATTATAATGTGATAAATATTTTTTAAAAATCGATATAAGCCGAAAAGTAAATTATTATGCAAATAAGGTAATTATTATAGATGTATGTAAACCCAAAACAGAGCATCAGTATATTGTCTTAGAGTATTTATGTAACAAAATCCATTAAAATAAGTACTTGAGATATTGATGGAAAAGCTGAAAATTGACAAATCATTATTCAAATTAGGCAATTAATATGCATGGAATGTCGCCCAAGCCTAATCAAATCTGCGAATAAGCCCAGAGCATCTATTCATCAAATTTCATGCAAAGACTCCCATCTTGTGCTTCGTACTTATTTATACTAAGCTGATCTTCTAACAGTGCTATTGATATTAAGAGGATCCTAAATTCTACTATTTCAACTAAGTGGGCCCCCTAACTCTAATGTTTACACTAAGTGGATCCCCTAATTTACTATTTGCACTAAGTAGATCCCCTAACTCTACTGTTTACACTATGTGGGTCTCCCAATTTCACTACATGGATTTACACTACAATCCCACAACCATTTACTTTAAAACTTTAAGTTTATAATAGTACTTACATACATGGTGTGCGACGGCGTAGAATCCTCGAAATGTTATGAAATTATTACTAGTAAACCTCAACCACGCTGAACTGTTATTACTCAGGAAATTATCCGGTATCTGATTTCCCGAGTGCTCCCATATCACGGCAGTCTCCTGGCTTGGATCGTTGCCATGACCGGCATACAGAAAGTCTTCACCTGTCTGGGTGCGGAAGTCTAAAAACTGAACTATGATACGGTAATCGCCTTCAAAATCGCCTGGGTCACCATTGACTATCCATTGGCATTGAGCGTTGTCATGGTAATCGTTAGGATAGTTTGGTGATAATATGTTAACGCTTTCACCGCGGTTCAAGTAGTAAACATCGATACATTCTGTAAGATGGAAAGTTTGGTTATAAATTACTGAGGGCGCATATTAAAGGGCGGTAGTCGTCGCGCCACGCATTCGCGATATATATGGGTCTTATATAAATAAAGATGGCGACTTTGACTGTTGCGCAGATCAACTAGAACAAACTGAGACGATTACAAGCTTTAATTAGATAATTTTTAGGTGATTGGAAGGTATCGAAGGAATCACTGGCGGTAATCAGTGCAAGTCGCGCCCAGGTCCGACCTTATACTTTCCATTTGAAGAGCATATTGGATTTGTGGGAAAATCAATGTTTATCAAAACAAATGTCGCACATGCGCAGCGCGACGACCACCGCGCTTTAAAACCGTGATTACTCATTTTCTGAAGAAGCCATGTGATGTTGAACGTTGGACATTATTAAATATAAAAATACATAAACTGTTTGTTTTTCAGATAATGTTCAAGTAATCGTAACAGTGGGTATTCTGTAATGATCTGCATAATTTCGTATATTCGTATAAAAAACTGTAACTTAGATAAGTTATTATACCCCAAATGACAGTTTTGCACTTTCTTAAAATTCAGGTGTTCTGCCTGTTTGAACTGTATCAGACAGACAACACTGCGTTGTTTACACTTATCAACCACCGCGGCCTGTACTTCATTATATACGCCCAAAATACGCCTAAAATATTTCTCAGTAACCGAACACATTGGGAAGGACGTCGGTAAATGAAATAGTCGTGTTGGTAGCGCCATTGTTTTTTTGACAAGAACGTCAAACGCGGAGAGTCCGCTGTTCTTCACTGTTCTGACTGTTATAGATGTACGTACCTGCACAATGGATTACGTAGTCAGGGCAACAACTGCCGTCCTGTACACAATCAGAGAAACAACTACATCCATTGCTCATAGTATCACATTTCCCCTCACATGAACCATCTGTTTAAATAGAGAAGATACATCACTATTGCACCCAGGCACTTGACTGGTCGAGGAATACGTTCAAAACGGAGAAAAGGAGAAAAGGGTATACTTTTCGAAAAATCGCTGCTTGTCGGCGAAAACCAAAACGGAGATACATATTACCTTGTGTTTTGGACGTTCCACGGGAAACAAACACATCAAATGTACAGAGGCGTTCGATCAGAACGAAAAAAAAAACAGCGTATGACGGTATCTTCGAATTTCTTGGCCAAAAATTAGCTTGTTCAGAAATAAAATGAGTGTTTTCTATAAACAATAAGTCCACATTTTATCGAGGGGCACGTTTTTATTCACAAATCAGTGAAAATATGTTGTTTTATGATACTGCAACAGAATACTCGTATGTGCTATCTATACCAGTCAAGGTAGATTATTTAATATTTGGAGGAAAGGAATTTGAAGTAAAAAATCTTGCAAGCAAAATGACAGGAAGATAAATAATATATAATATTTACATGCAAAAATACTGTACTTATTTCGGTGAACGCATTTTATAGTTGTTGTTTTTTTTCATAACGCAACACAGATAGAAAATTCCTAATGTCGTTCACACAATATTACTGGAATGTTACTTACACGTCCAATACGCTGTCGAGTGGAATCCTCTCATAGTCCCAGATTCATCGGATGTAAACCTGTACCATACAGCACCAACCGTTGACATGTAGTCTGGCGGTAATGTGGTACCGGAGTGAGGCTCAATAACAGTGGATGCATTACTGGGCGTGTCACCGTCACCAGCGAACATAAAATCATGGTTTAACTCCGTTGCGAAATCGTCAAACGTCACATTGAGCAGTCCACCGTTGACAGCAGTCAACACCCACTGGCAACTCTCGCCGTTTGGATAGTCTTCTGGGTAATTTGTTGATGTCACGATTGAACTTCCTCCCTCCGGGACTGTTATCTCGTATATACAATCGCCTTAAATTAGATGATAGATTAAATAATGCGGTTTTAAAGTGAATTCTTGGTTTAAAAAATTTCACAGTATTTGGAACGATGGAACAGTCTCTTATTTTTCTCGCTTTCAACGAGATCTCGATGACCATTTACTTTTAAAGTTGATCAGAAAGTGTTAGCAAACTGTCGAACATCGCCGAGCTGTTATGTAGCATAACTTGTGAACGCCTTAACTGCAGATTCCAATTCATAGCCTATTTTACTAAGTATGTTCAAGACTTCGAATAAGTTTAACATTATTATGGTCTGTTATTGTGATCTAAATGTTTGTATAATCTAATCGAAAATTTGTATTATAAATAACACAGCTATATCATATTGCATAATTTTGAAGAAAAACGATAGAATAGTGTATTATAAATAAATGAAACTTTAACTACTTGGTAATTAGAAATAAAATCATGTTTAAACTGAATGAAATTGCGTGGCGGATGATCCAAACGAAATATAATAGACGAAATAATTTGATATTAAATAAAATTATTATACATCTGTCACCGTAACGCCATAAATTACAGCGTGCCGCAATTGAGTGGTATTTTACTGGGTATTTTCATCCTACCATATAAAGAAATGCGAATTCTAAATATGGAATGATTACGCGCGTAAGCGTTCTCTAATAATAAAAACAAACATGGCTGCCATCAGGGTTTGACCGGACTCCACACAAAGAAGTTCGCTGATTATGTACTAAACTTTTTAGATTTCGGCATTCCCATGATGTAATCTTGGAAGGAAAAGATGTACATGTATAATAATAAGGTTATTACGAGAATACCTCAAAGTATGCACTCAGACAGTACGCTGCGCGTCGGTCGATACTCCAGCTGTACTTTCTTCATGCATACTTTGAAATTATTCTCGTAATAACTTCATATTATTGCGATCGAAACAAAGCACTTGGCAGCTGATGTTACGCGGTTCCGTCCAAGGTTTCGTTCAAAGTAAAAAACAAAAATAAAAAAACTTGGGCACCTGGCAAAAAGATGAGTACCTCGCAAAAATGAGTGCAAAATACTTGTTCTTGCAAAATAATCTTCGATTTGGCTCTAGCAAGTGACGTGGCCCTGCCTATTTTTTTTTTTTTTTTATTTCTAGTAAAAAATAGATTTTCGCAATTGTAACACTGCAATTTGTTTACGCGCCGTACGTCAACCCTGTCGATACATATTACTTGGTTATGATTACTTTTAAAACTAACAAAGTAACTGGCAAACGGTGTCAAATGGGGCAAATCCATTGGGGCAAATGCATTACATTAATTTTTTCAGGATAAAAAAGCAGATAACAAATCCCATTATAGAACATTTCAAAACCGAATGAATAGTAATTCATTGATTTTTGCAGTTGATCAGACTGGGAAGAACAATACTGCTGTTATATGCTAATCGCATAAGTTCATAAGAATGCGTTTATATTTGCGGTATTTTCCTAAATTCACTACAACTAACAACGCACATAATATATTTGTGTTTGTTTAATTGCAATATGATTGAAAATTAGATATATCAAACATATCAAATATCTTAAATGAAGAGAATTGGTTGAAATGCGTCACTGTCGATCTGTTCGTATCGAATTCAAATTGGCAGCAATATCACATGATAAGTCGTTATAATCTTTTTTTAAAAGTCAACGCATTTAATTGGAATCCGATATCAAACAAATCAGTTGAGTAGTTCTGAAGTTTAATTTTAAGCGGTGGAAGTCATGACGCAACTACTGTAGTTACTAATTTTTTAGTGAATCTCGGACAAATGAACAGTGCAAAAAGAGTAAACTATAGTGGGTAAAAGGTAAGAGTAGAAAAATGACGTCACTGCGTTGACAAAGTATTACTTACTGGCACATGTTTGAAAGTAGTCGTCACAGCAGTCAAACTCATATACACATTGAGAGAAACAACTGCATTGGTGAGGTATACTGTAAAATTCACACATTCCATCACAAGAAGGTGGGCCTAAAAGAGGAACAATATTATTGATGGTATGAGATCGAAAACAAAGAATACATCATAAGTAACCCTACAATATCAAACAGCTATTGACCTCGTCTGAAGGCCGATATAAAGAATTACCCTACCCAGGTGGCTGTTGCTGACTCGACTGAGGATAATAATAACAATTTGGAAACGATAGTTTTGATATTGGCCGAGGCCAAAACAATAATTATTTTTTTATCCCGCGAGAGAACAAAGCGAGGTAAAACCTAAATAATTAAATAATTTATTAAACCACTTTAGTATAATTTTCAATTTTGCCCGGCCGAACCTTCTATATGATATTGTAGGGTCACGTAGTTGATATCTTGTCTGTCATATATATTTCGCAGCTTTCAAAGGCTAAAACAGTGATTGTAATTTGTAAGAGCGTTTTTAGAACACCTAAGTATAAAAAAAATCTTTGTTCATATCACACCATTACGACTGAGAAATTTAGTTGTTTTCAAAACCATCACTATACTTACGGTTTGTGGGATTCATTGATAAACTGATTATTAATTTTGAAGTCAATTAAAACCGTGGCTTTTTGCAATGCGTGAACAATCGCCACTAGACATTCTGTGCAGAGAAGTTGAGATTAGAAGAATTTGAATAGACGTATCAGATATTCGTGGTATATATCACATACGCATTTTAGCTGACAACCACAAATATTTCTAATTTTAATTCAAGCATGCTAAAAGTTCTGGTTCCATGGACCAATTACCGGCATTTGTGTTTCATATTATTACCCATATTTATTTTTTGGTATACGTTTCTTATCAAACCAATATACGCGATTACGTTACATCGTCCCTAAATACACATTACAGTGTGGTATTACATTTGGTTACGAAAGATCTAAAAGCTTTTCTTGTGTTACAGGTATGTGACCTAAAATAAAAGCATATTCCTACAAACAAACAAACAAACAAACCCTAACGAAGCACTTTACTTGAAGCAGGTATCATATTTGTATACTATTGACTCGGTGTGTTGTTTGTGCGTTTCAGTTAGAGCGATGCGCGCGTTCACGTTGTGGGACGACAACGTTCTACTACGCACTCAGCCGGGACACCCGTGGGGTCTGGATCGTAAAACAAGCCAAACTTATTGATAAAAAACCCTAGGTTATGCTTATGTTTTACCATAACTGTATGGAACATCATTGCATGCGATTTGGGATGAATATAAATATACCATCAAAGTCATGCTAAGCATAAACATACACGCACATAACAATGCCGTCTCAAGAACAGTTTTATGCAATTCAAGCCTACTTACCGAAATCAGTTAGTGTTGCGTGAAACCCCCTCATGTTGATCTCCTTATTGGAGACAAATTGTAACCATGCGGTATCTCCATCTGTGACGTAGTTGGGCGGAAGTGAGGAACCAGAAAATCCCCAGATTTCACTTGTGTCCTGTGAAGGTAGTGAACCATGTCCAGCAAAAAAATAATCGCCATCGAGCTCAGTTAAATAGTCATTGAAAACGACCTCAATCCTGGTACTTTGAGCGGTGTCAACAATCCATCGGCACCTGGCATTGTCTGGATAATTGCTCGGGTAATTCGGAGACGTCACGTTAACACTGCCACCGACTGGTATCTGTATGTTCTCGTTACAGTCACCTGTTTTCATGAGGAAAGCAATAAAGATTGTACATATTCACTCTCATTATACAATGGTAAGGGACGTTCTGTGAGAGGAATGTCTTTGTCATTGTTGTCTGCACCGCACACTTTTAGTTAGACGTAAGATGTAGAATTTCGATAATCCCCCAGGCCTAATTTACATATATTTGTCACAGGAATAAAAATATACATGCAAAGGCGCGTGCAATATGTAGCATACACTCACTAAAATTCCCATGGTCTTTCGCACACTCCTTCGGTTGTATATAAAACTCGGAATCGGAGGAGTAACTCAATTAAATTGCAATCAAATACTGTAGAATACTTTATTTTCGCTTGGAATTTATTTTCGCTGAAGGGATGATTCCGTGAAAATAAAATCCAGCGAATATATTTTTTTCCCTATATTTCACATTCAACTCATCGAAAATCAGAGAAAATAAATTCCATACACAACGCCCAAAAAGCTTTTTCAGCGAAAATTAATTCCAGCGAAAATAAAGTATTCCACAGTATTGGAATACAATTTAAATCACTTTATCTAGACGCCGTAACTTAAATTCAATAACATTTACCGGTAATTGTACCTTTGGATTGGGGTAAGGGATAAATTCTGAACTTAATGACAAGAAACTATCTCGTTAAATTGACTTTCTGTTAATATTATTTCCTATTCACGCGTTTAAAGACAACTCACTCCTTCGGTGTTTAATTTGTATTTTCGCGGGAAAATAAGAAAATTAGGCCTGAGAAAATATTGATAGTCCTGGTGAATGGTTAAAAAAAATAGACATCGAGTCGTGAAAAACAAATTGTAGCCACAGTAATAAATTCTGTAACTATCGATCTTTTTTCTCCGGTTTCTTTTTATAATAAAACATTTCCTGTGTCATTAGTTTTTATTTGCAACGGCTATCGTCGAAATGTTGGTACTGATAGCACAGCTTATACAGCATATACCGACGTAGTACATTAAATCACTTGCAAGTGAAAAAGATGGTCGCAGTGTTACGTGCATTGGAACACCATTCATAATAAATAATAAGTCGCCAACATTCGGATGCGCTGAAATCACACCTTTCCTATAGCGAAGAAGCGCTCCAATGACGTAAATGAATCGACATGACATAAAGATCGATCAAACCGTCGATATCGTTTTGATTTGCAGTCGTCAATGAAGTTTATGTTTTCAAAAGATTTTACTATATTTTTGAAGATGAATATAGTATATCGAGGATGAATATAGTATATAGACTACAAAACCAAACACAGTTTACTTTCATCCATTAACGTCATTTTGACGTCACGGAATCCTTTTATCGCTAGAGGACGCAATTTATAGTTATTGTGTATTGAACGTTCAGTATTCCACACAGTTCAATCATTAACGACTTCATATAATAGTAACATGTTCTCAATAAATAAAAAATAGCGGACTGATGAATTTAGAGTAAGTTCTCAATTAACCAAAAACATAATCTTTATTAATGAATGACTAATTCCACTGGCAGAAGCGACCGCACGAAATTTTGCGCCGGCGGCGCGATCTTACTAGGGGGTCCTGGCCATGCTCCCCTTGAAATCTAGACCCTCTGAAACACTATTTCCTGCATTTTGAGGGGCAAATTTTGCTGACACAAAGAGTTTCAGGTTGATCTTGGAGAGGCGAAGCCCCCCCCCCCCCCATGTGCCGCCGCCACTGAATTCGATTTGAACCGTGAACGGCCTTTGTTTCGAGCCTCCGCGTCACCGAATTACGTCATATAGAAGAGATTGTTTGACGTTGATACACTTCTGGTGCACAAGAATATACAGTCTTTGGAAATTAATTGTACTATACTAGCTGTAGTTTCATAATGAACACGTTGAGTATGTATTGCAGGCTTCGATAAAAGTTCATGAAATTATCGTATAATAAAAAACATTATTTTTCATTCATTTGGTAGCCCAAAATATAATTTGTGACATCTTGATATCATTTTAAGATTTGTCTGGGGAACAAATGCCAAGGACTGTGTATTGCAAACTGAGGCAAAAGGAACCTTCTTATAAAGTCGTCACTCCCTTCCGATGACATGGCTACCAGGTAACTCGAAGCTCGTGTATTCACCTCATTAAAAGCCTATTAAAACAACACTTGTGTTATAGTAAAGAGAATTTCATGGAGGCGTGAATGTTTTGTATTGAAATTTGCAAAATACATTTTCGCTTTATTTCAATATATGCCAAATAGGAACGTTTATGAGTTTCTGCGGGGTTTCTTCATTCATTGGCCCATTTTCTGTCATGCATTCTTAAATGCTTTGTGATTGGTCAAGTTGTTTCTAACCGTCATTAAACATTTATAAATATTTTATATAAAAAACATTCACGCCTTTGTGGACTTCACTGTAATTGTATCTAATCACAACAGTACCTGCACAATATTCGAAATAATCATAGCAGCAGTCGTCACTCACGATGCAGGTAGTCGTACAACTGCAACCATTTGCGTTGTTATAAAGACCACATATTCCAGCACAGCTTCCATATCCTTGATTAAGGAATTACAAAACATATTTATGTTATACAAAGTCGCGTGTCGTTAGCTCACACAAAATGACCGAATAGCAGGACTGTGCGCAGAGCCGTTACTGGTAAGTCTGACTAGAAATTATTGCCGTGCACGCGTACCGGATGTGCTATTTTCTTGTTCTGTGTCTGTGTCGGCTGTGGAGGACGCTTTGCGCAGGCACGCATACACTAAAATATACACGCTAGTCTGTACTCGGTTGTAGTATGTTCATCGTCAATGTCGGTGAGATGTGGGTTACGCGTATTTTTTTTTAAAGACGTACTCAATCAAAATAAAAAAAAAAAAACGAAGTTTGATTTCATATTGTTTTCATATTGGGTGGCAATAAGAACTCTGGGTCGTTAAATTTGTTTAAATATTTAATACTGCATATTCCATTATGTGTTGTTACACAATAAAGTATTGTAGCCTTTATACGCCTTTGTCGATTTATTTGGAGAAATATTGCAAATACACGTTTTTTACCAGAATCGTGTACTATAGTATGAAAGCCCCTTGCAGCAGTATTGACATCTGATGTGAATGTTATCCACCCAGTCCCTGAATCCGTCAGAAAGTCTTCGGGTCGACTTGATCCAGAGTGTCTCCACACCTCGCTGGTTTCCTGACTCGGTGCGTCTCCATTCCCGGCCGAGTAAAAGTCAAATCCATCCTCCGTGTTGAAGTCCACGTGTTCGAAGTAAATCATACTGCCGTGTTCAGTGTAAATTGTCCAATTGCAGTTGAGGTCGTCTGGGTAATAGTTCGGGTACAATGGCGACGTGATGTCTACAGAGCCCCCATTTGGAATGTTTACAATTTCACCACAGGCATCTATGACAAAATAAATTATTATTATGATAGACTACATTAAATCTGCCACGGAAGCACGTGGTTATTTGCAACCGAAAGTCATCATACGTAACTGAATACATTATATTTATATGAATAATTCATGAAATGTAATTGCTAACCTGGTATCGATGGTAACGTTGGATCTGTATGAGGAATAAAAATAAAATTACGTAATTTCTTTGTCAAGTTTCATTTCGTGCATGTTCTATTATCTGTTGGCTGGACAGTTATTTATTTAATCTTACCCTCCCCCCATTTTTGCGAGGCAAAGGATAATTCTTGCATCGTTTATCGCCATCTCCATTTGTTATCACGACAAGTATATCTGTTTAATTTGTTTAAAAGATTCCTCTCATTAGTAAATAGCGCCCTCACTCAACAATATTTAGAATGAGTGGTTGGTCAAAAGTTTGATGAGTCAGGTGCATCTATTGGCTAAGCTTGTTGTACATATATGCAGATGAGTATAGGAACCATTAATGCTGTAGGGTGTACTGGGAGGGGTGGAGGATTTCATGTTTGTAATGACTGGTTGTAATGCGGTATCTCGTTGTTTTCAAGATGCAGCCTGATATTTGTTGTTTTCTTGGTTGTTCAATTGTGGCTAAAACTTGTGTGGTGAGTGGAAGATGTGTTTATTGTTTGTTGAGTCATTGTTTAGACACCCTGCAGCTTGAAACTGTATGGTCCAAATCCAAATTCGATATGGCGGTGTTGAATATCTGTGCGATATGGCAGAGTCGTCTAAAAACATGGCATCAAAATGATTTCTGTTTATTTATTCACTGTTGTAGATCCTGAGAACTAGCCATTGATTATGATGTCGGGAATAAATGGTTTTCTGAACAAGCTTTATTAATTATTGCTGGCAATATTCCAGTATGAATTGGGAGCAAACTGTGACACCAAATCTAGTCGTTGTATTGTTATGCTTCTAAATAGAAATATTATGTGTATTTTTGTATGTGGGAACATGGCTGGCCCACTCAAAAATATAAAGAAGTGAGGTCTGCAGTTCTTTTTTTTTTTTTTTTTTTTTTTTATTTGTGAAAATAAATGGTATCTTACAGAGTGTAAACAATAAAACACTCACAGTGCAAGGCTAGTTCACCAACATGTCTATTCTCTTGCTTGAGTGTGAAAGTACATGGTTTAGTGACTACCTCTTATGTTTTTAAATTTTAGAATTTCTTTTATTTGGGAAGGTTCTTCTATAAAAATAGAACATATATATATATATATATAATAATACAATCGGTATAAAAGTCTTTGATTAAATAGGAAATTAAAGCTAAGCAATATCAAGTTCCGTTATTTTTCTCTTAAAATAACATTATAGAAATGTTACGGAAACCACAATTGTGAGTGAATGGTTATAGTGTTGTTGATATCCTCGAAAGATTACGTCATGGAATTGAAACAATGCAATAAGTTGACATATTTTAAATAAATGCGGACCATTCCGAAGTATCGAAAACATGGCTGACAAATACGATCGAACCACTTTTCAATAAAATGAAATAATGAATTATTTGGGGGGTGGCCTAAATTGTCGATAGGGCATTGTACATCAGAAGCATCAGATAAAGGTGATTTGAATAAAAATGTGGAAGAATAAAAACGAGAGACTGAACAACTAAAGTGATGAAATCGTAACACGGTTGGAGCAACATTGAACACAAAATATTGTGTTCAGAATGACGAATTCCTCTATATTGAACCAAAAATACCCACTTCGTTCAGAATGATGGGAAGATTTATTTAAGAGAGAATGTGACCATAATTGTATACCACAAGAAAAAATATCCAACGTTTCACACTACTCATAGCAATTAATTCAATCAATTAAGTCAATCATTTTATCAGATGAAATTTCAAGATTAAATTCTACGCCACCATCTTAACCTTACTACGTAATCTGACCCACTTTTCCAAAGATGTTAGTTACAAGCAATAGAATTGGTCGAATGTATTTATTACAGTGATACGCGGTTTCAACCATCACGTGTTCAAATCGATATATTTCTACTTAATGGAAAAAAATGCCAAAATATGGCTAAAACATGTTCTTCCAATCTCGCACTTCATATTTTTTCCGCCAATGTTTGTGAAACATTTTGCATACTTTTTATGTCATTTATCGTTTAAAGGTACAGTCTATGCATTGTTCCTGATAAGTCGCGCCATCTAGCGACAAGACGTTCTATTCATACTTCGATGACAAAATGGCCGTTCACAGCGTCGGTTTGATATATCCGTCAATGAAAATCAATATAAATGAATTATTAAGAGTCAATGCCACTTAAAAGATTGTGTTCGATTGGCTACTCAACTCCAACACCTAACAATCAGACCAATCAGGAAGCAGCTTCTTTGTGACTATTTCGACGTATCAAATTATGCCTTACATTTATAGAAAACAACGGACGACTATACAACCAAACAAATATGTCGTTGCAAACTACATTGCTTACGTCATTTTGACGTCAGGAAAACGCCTCCTGACCACAGGGTGTAACTTATAGAAAACGTGTCTTGAATCAGAAAAAAAAAACGAACTTATTTAAATTACTTACTTGGACAAGCCTCTTGGAAATCGGGACAACAGTCTCCAAGATAAGGACAGGCATTATCGCAACAGCAACTGAAGGATATACACTCATTGCAATTACCATAACACGAACTAGCTATGAGAATATGAAATATTTCCAGAATTGAAAAAAAAATAGTAAAAAACCAGTAATTTAATATACAATATATATTGATATCTGTATAGATAACTATCAATAAATCAACTTACAAGGTGTTGGTTTCGGAGTGGTTTGTCCTAAATAATAAAACAGAAACATTATTTAAGAACACTAGAACGACATCATACATATATACTACATATTCAAATCGCAACGAGCATTTGAAAAAACAAATATACATATATAGGTTAGTAAAATAGCCGACGCTATCAATCATTATTGAGGGGCAAGTCTCGTGGTTCTCTCAAGTCTCGCGGTTCTCATTGAGAACTCGACGGCCATTTGTGTCATAATATTGTGCATTTGAGTTATACCATATTGAAAAGGACGACAACACAGTATTCTCAAGTCCATCAAGTTATGTGAGCTCAGTATAATCTAGACGAGTAATCTAATTCTTTCTTTAAAGGAACATTACAGAATGTATGTATGATTAGCACGAATTTAATCGCTTTAAAAAGTTAAGAGATATATAGATTAAGGCAGTCATCAATCAATGTCCTTGGGAATTGTTCAAAATAAATACATTTTCGGGTAATATCTGAATACATATCACAAACACGAAATATACCTTTGTAGTTTTGTCTGTGGTTTATGAATCCAAACCTTACTATTAAGCATTTCATCACTTCAGATATCGACGACAGTATATGTAGGTTGTTCGTTTGTTAAAATGCTGTACCTGTTGCGCAGCGAGTGTTCGAGATTTGTGTTAACAAACAAACAAATAAACAAACAACTTGTCTTAAGCACGCTATATAACCAACGTCGAACCCGAAAAGGCGCGACGACCAGCGTTCTTTGGGAATGCGACTGGTATTGGGAAGGGGTCGTATATGATTTAATTCTACGCATATTTGAAAAAATGTGGTGGATCAACACTACCTTGTCCTTAACAAGTCCATCAATGTATGTACATTGGCCAGATATTGGGTTATCAAATGGGTTATCACATAGCACCATACGCCACCTATCTCACCGTCTCATATCATCTTCATTTTTTTCATCAAATGAATAATCTTAGTATACAATTAAATTAATTAATTTCACAATCGTGTATTTTTATAATGAATAGTCTTGAATTTTTGTAATTATCAAAATACAGCAAATTTAGTCCAATTGTTGTTATCAGACGAACAAACAGACATAGAAAAAACATTGCGTGGCATATTGTCAGTCCATCCTCGCACTCTGGAAGCTATGGGCTTATCGTAATTGACCATTTACTAAACAGTGTCAATTTAAGTGCATTCTATCAAACATTTGATAGTATTAATAATATGATAGACATATATTGGATAATGGCCTGGGGAATCGGTATGCAACTTCATAGCTGCCACAGAATTGGCCGTCTCCATAACTTCATTATATTACTATGGTAACATGCATGCAAGGCCTGCCTCGTAGGTATGTCGTACTCACAAACGGCTTGTAGACTATCATATGTCGAGTATGTGTTGTTTTGCTTGAGAAAACCGTTGAATTAAAATCGCGTTAGATTCTAGGTGAATGAATCAGTGAGGTGTATGAGCAGTGGCGGCGGCACGGGGAGAGGGCTGGCCCCCTCGAAAAAATGTTGGGATCGTCGCCCCTCCAAAGTCAAGCTGAAACCCATTTGTGTCAGCAGAATTTGACCCTCAAAATGCAGGAAATGGCGTTTCAGAGGGTCTATATTTCAAAATTGTTAAGGGGGAGCATGCCTCCGGACCTTTTGCACCAATCTTGCGCCGAAAGCGCCACTTTACTACACCTTTCGGCGCAAGGTTGGTGCAAAATTCCGTGCTGCCGCCTCTGAAGAGTCACAGTTTAGGATTTTAAGTTTGATTCCCCGTGTGTGCAACGACTTGGGTTGAATGACAATGATATATTGAATATGTTCAAGCAATAGAGTAATATAATAGCAAATTGTGATGCGAATAGAAGGACATGCCTATCTCAAGATATGTGAAGAATAAAGACACTAATATAGTGATATAGTATATTTCAATAGTCAGTTGTACACTCTTACCGTTTACAGCCGATATAGAACTGCAAACCGCGGCGATGAGCAACAATGTTACAATTTTCAACTCCATAGTGTAGACGTAACGTCTAGCAGAGCCAGCTTTAGAATGTCTCTACTTAGATATAGGCTTGAATATTGCAATAAACATGATGTATTGATTAGGCTATCTGAGTATCATGTGTTCCCACAGCTGCATACATCGACTCGATTCAAAAACATTATCAGTGCCGCGCGGTGGTAGGTGGGATGGGGAGGGGGTCTTTTTCACAAGTTGCCTGCTATAAGAGGGTGTCCTCTAGAGGAGGCCAACAATTTCTGCCCCATAATTTGAAGACTACATTTGTCTTCAAGAAAACCCAAATATGGCAATATGATGTGATATAGCGTACACGTTCAACAACCAGTTAAGTTGTGTTGCTGAAAATCTAAAACAAGAAATTGTCAGTTTTTATGCTTGTACTTCCATGCCATGTTTTCGTCTTTCGTTGGAATATTTGTTGTCTTCAGTAATGAAACTTTGTCTCCACACTGATAATAAAAGTCAGTCAGTATCATATGAGTGTTGTAGTGAGCGGGAAAAAACAAAATCGTCATCCAACCTAGGAGCCAATCACCGACAGTTGAACGATAATTTCGGTTTCATATACGCAGAGAAAGTTGAAATAGTTTAGACAAGAACAAAAAAGAACTGGTCATGGACTTCCAGCCACCCCGATGATTTCAAATCATTGACTCTTACGAATGTGGTTGAATTGCCAACAGATCCTTCGACTGTAAAAGAGGTATTTTCACTCTGACTTGTTGGAATCTGGATAATACGTCTCAAAATGTGTCCGTTCACGTGATTCGGGCGGATTCAAAATGGTGGCATCATACAATAAATATCAGTAGATTTATCGCATTTATTTAATTATTTGTTAGTACGCCAGCTGACTGTGCACATGATTATCTATTGATCAATTCCACTAAATATTCACACAGTGAGCCATGCTGTAACTGTATGTATGTATGATAGACAGTGTTTATTACATCTGAGTGGCATACATCAGCTGAATCAACTATCTGCACCGGTTGTTATCAGTCTAGCCATGGTTTACATTGATATTTGTGTCAATACTTGCCATTATCACACATTCAGTCTAGTGTGGTATTCGTGACAAGTTACAAAGCACAACCCCTGCCCTACTTCACCTCACCTTTCCAACTCACCATATCATATAACACTCTGCCAAATGATAAAACAGGGTCCATAGCACCAAGAGCCAAATGATTTCCAAGACTTTCCCCAAACTTTCTTGCATTCCCCCCCCCCAAGACATTTTGACCTTTAATTCAGGCCAACATCATCACCAAAGATCATCAAAGTTCTGAGGATATGGTAGTTCCCTGGAGAAAACGGGCCTTTCTAAAATGAATTAAAAACTATGAAGAAATTTAAAGACTTTTCAAATTGTTTGTTATTGTTCCTGTAATTTAAAGACAACTCAAAGACTTTCCAGACCTCAAAGTTACAGTATTAATGACTCAAAAAAGTAATTATTGACCGAGTCGCAACACTGAAGTATATATTTTTGACTGAATAATTAAACCCAACATACTAGTTAATAGCACGTTTGAGTCTGTGGGAGTGTTGTTTTTGTATATAACTGCGCATACACTACAACGAAAATAAGGTCACTGTATTTTCATTACTGACCCAAAATTAATATTTATGATTATTATTCACTACAAGGTAACTGCGTTCTGTCCCAATATCGTGACGATCTTTAACACGAGGTAACATAATACATATTATTATACATCTGTCACCGTAACGCCATAAGTTACAGCGTGCCGTAATTTTGCGGTATTTTACTGGGTATTTTCGTACTACCATGTTAGGAAATACGAATTCCAAATATGGAATAATTACGCGCGTAAGCGTCCTATAATAATAAATACAAACATGGCTGCCACCAGGATTTGACCGGACTCCATACAAAGAAGTTCGCTGATTATGTTCTAAACTTTTTGGATTTCGGCATTCCCATGATGTATCCTTGGTAGGAAAAGATGTATAATAATAAGGTCATTACGAAGATACCTCAAAGTATGCACTCAGACAGTACGATGTCGCGTCGACCTCCGCTGCGCGTCGGTCGATACTGCCGCTGTACTGTCTCCGTGCATACTTTGAGGTATCTTCGTAATAACCTTATATTATACGAGTTCTCGAGTCTTTCCTAATATGCATAAAAATCCCTGTGAAATGTTCAAAATTCTAATGAAGTATAGAAAATGTAAATGAATATGCATATTTATAAAAGAACGTATAATTAAATATCTACGGTACATCCATAAAAGAATGACTGTCGGAAAAAAATGCATTATATACTTTTAATAGTAAGCTCCTATAAGCATACATACATTGCATTATGGTTTGAATAAACACAATACAAATCAGATAACAAGAATTAACACAAAATGCATTTAAATGTGTTGCACGTGTTCTGTGTCAAACGGCGTGAAGAGTAATGATATACAATCATATGAAGTTTATAGAGAGAATCTCTATTTTTCAAATAAAACAAAGAAATTACAATTAAAAATTTTTTGCTAAATAAAAATATATATTCAATTACGTTTTGGTCGAAGCGCCATTTGCGCGAATAAAATTTTAAATTGATATTTACAAAATATAAATACAATGAGGACAATTACGTATTAAGACAAACTAAAACCAGCACCAAGAAATATTGTGTTCTCAGTAAGCAACATTGTACTAAAGAAAACAACTTCCAAATATTTAATATATTTAAATCTAAAACTGAAATATTTCATATAAGTTCATATAAGTTCATATGAAACAATTGATACACATGTACTTCCAGGATTTAGACTGTAGACATCTACACATCAAACTCGTCGACCTCAGAAGGTGCCTTTACCCATGTACCCAATCCTTTCTTCTGTAGTTCCTGTTCCAGTTTACGCTTGACCGACTGGTACTCCAGGGCTTGAATTTTAGCCTCATGATAGTTGCAACCCCTTCCCACTTCTTTCTTTTTTGTTGTTAGCGAAGTCAACTTTCCAGCAAATTTCCTAAACTGTAGGTATAGTGCTCGCTTGGACAATCTTGAATGCTCACTCTGCTCCTCAGTTCTCCCTGTCGTGGTGTTGATGACTTCCACATTATCGTCTGCCACATTCCAGTTGATGCTGTAGTCAGGTGCTTTTCCGGGTACACGATCATCAAGCTGTTTGGTGGTTCGGCACAAAGCAGGATCAGTATGTCTGTATATATCTGGTATACCTGTTATATCTTTGCTTCTACCTATAACAGCACGTGACATGTGCTCACTGTGATAATTGGAACCAATGATAATGCTTTTTAAGTAGATTGGTTCTATAAAATAACTCAGCAATGCTCCCTGTAAACCCAGTACATTCCAACGTGATACTTTATCACTGCAAGACATCACCAATAGACGTTCACCTAGTAGAACCCCATCCCATGTTTGAATTGGTGAAGAACCTTCAATGGGGATAGTTCCTTCTCCAGCTTCGATTTTTGTACGTAGCTGACCACGCGATTTTCTCGTTGGGTGAGTGTCGGTAGTTTCCTCATTCTCTTCATGGGGCGAGAACACACGTGCATCACCACAGGGTGATGTACTGATGTAAAGATGGAAGCAGACACCATCACGGAGCTGGAATCCTCTCTTGTTTTTTCTCGGTGTAAAAATGGTCCCTTCAGACACTCCTGATAAGTATGGCTCTAACTGTGAATATAAATATCGCAATAGGGAACGCCGTGCAATGATCTCAGCATGGCAGTCATTTATTGCAGCTCCTCGCTTTGATAGATTTCGACCATTGATACATTTGGTTCCAGTGGTTACAGCAATCACTTGAGCGGACTGTGGGTCATTATTAACTGTCTGAACGATGCCAGCGAGGACTCTCCTTTTCGAATACGGAGAGGTGAAGTTTTCTGTAATGGAGGTGAACTTGGTATAGACTAATTTCTGTATGTGATCCGACATTTGAAGTTCATGGTTTGTCGTGGGTTCCGATTGTACGTTCAGTTGACTTAGTGCTGCTCTTGCCGCCGCCATCTTTCCCTGATGTTTGTTCGCTCCAGTGCCCTGAAACACTGCATCGCCGACTTTGACAGCCATTGTGTACATCTTCTCATGTCCATTCCCACTTTCAGACAGTGTATCGTAGATTATTGGACCGGGGTTATAAGCGGCTAGTAAAAGTGTCGGATCTGATTGTGATAAGGTTTCCGATTCAGACGTTGTTGACAACTGGTCCCCATTACCAGATTCAGCATCAACCGTTCCACCGATTTCCACATCAGACTGTACAAACTTCAGTGCTTGTTTCGCAACAATATGCTTTGCCTGTTTTATGCTGCATCCTTTTCCTTCAAAGTATTGACCATCTACTTTAACTCCCATCACAAACACAGGTGCATGAGGAGGACCACTTCTGCTCACTTCTATAAACTGCAAGCCTGGTCTTACCTCGTTTAACACCGAGAGAGCATTTCGCCCAGTGCTCGTTTGACGTGTAAACTGTGCTGGCAGACTCGCTGGAGCTGAAACAAAATTGGATTAGTATTATTGTTATAAATTTTGAGTGAATCTCTCAATGATCAAATTATATTGTTCATAATACCAAAATAATTCATAAACCTAAACGTTCAGTAGATGTTTATTCCAAACAGTATATTAGTAGTAATGATCAACATCATAGACTATCAGAATTACTAAGGTAACCACAATTTATATTTATGCCATTGTCAAATTAACAGTTCATTGGGGTATTTGTTAGACAACACTCTCGTAGTATAGAGAGACAAACACTCATACTGCAAATGAGTAACTGTATGAAAAAGTAAACTTACACGTTTTGTTTCAATATTCAGATGAAGTCAGTTGTAAATATATAAACTATTGTATATCAGTGTAAAACAAACTGTGTTCGCACCTACTTATTAAGTACATTACCTGTAGTATCTACTGGGCAATCAGTACACGTCTTTAATTCCATCGCTTTCTGGAGAAGCTCATTTTTCGCCTTCTCTGTATCGTCACGAAGCGTGTATCCCTGCAAACTTTCAACCAAGAAGTGTTCCACGTCTGAAGTATAATTATATACATGATTAGTGATTCGTGATACATTTTATTTTTATAATTGTTTGGTGACATTAAGACTATAAAGGCGAGGTTTGTACATTTTCTTATATTCTTTGCTGTTACCATCGTAAATCGTTGAATTTACTGTATGTAGAAAATGGATTTAGTTTACTACAAAACTAAAGGGCCGCCTAGTACAAGCGAAATTACTGTGAATAGATGATCGAAAGTAGTAATTTCGATCAAAGGTTATTACGAACTTTCAGAATGATAGCAACAATCTCAACTCGTACAGCACTTGCAGAAAAACATGCAATACACCATACATATAAATCTAGTGATGGAACGCCCCTGTGATGTCAAAATAACGTACACGTTTAAATCGATCACAGCGTTTACTTTTATAGACGTTCGTGACATACATTTTAGTAAATTTTCCCCCAAACATAATCTTCACAATGGACGAGACGCATTAAAGCGACATCCACGTCATATGGGTTCGTCACTGGAGGGGGCGATATATATGGGCGAGATGTATTGGATTAAAGTCTCGATATGCCTTGTTACTCACCATGTGCAAAACTTTGGTAGCGCTCCATAATAATGTCCGTGTACAATATTAAAGATAAATAACTGGTAGGAAGGATCGACCAGCGTGCAGACAGTAGAACCTGGATATAAAGTGACATTATTAAAGACATATGTCTGTAGAACTGTTGAATAAAGCACGCCCGTTTTTACTATTTGTGGATTTGCGCGTATGTATTAAGGCACCACAGAGTCGTTGACTGCATCAACTAACACTGTAATAACCAGCCATTGAGGAAATACCTTTATAATATACCTTTAAATAATAAGCAACAATTCATATACCTTTTGTTAACGTAATAATTAATAATGTAATAAAAGTAACCATCCGATAATGTAATAACATGTTGCCAATAATGTAACATATTTAGCATATGAGGGTAGATATTGAAGTAAATTATACGTCAATATAACGTTATAGTCAATAAAAAATGTGGATTTTTTTAATTATTGACAAACAACATCTTTGAATAGCTTAATACAATTAGCATTAGCACTTATACGACTTAGATATGTATACTTTGCATGTGATTAGGGGTAAACTAGTTACATACAAGACCACCTCGTAAGGAACACCTAATTTCATGGAAATATGCGTATGGAAAGTTTTATTTGACTTAAAATCTGTTGGACAGACGAGCACGATATCACTATGGGGAAAATACACTATTCAGTTTTAAAATTGTGGTGTGAAACCTGAAGCTAAATAGTTAGTATCGCAT